GAGATTGAGAGGAGGGACCAGGCCAGGATAGAGAGGGGTCTGACTCCCACTGCCTCCCTCTCTCGTCCACCCTCGTCTCCTGCCCGCTTCAGAGGCAGCCTTCACCTCGCCCAGCTGTTGAAACCCCTGACCCCGGAAAACAGCCACCTCTGGGCTGGTGCCCGGACTCCGGCTCTTTAGCGGGCTTTTGCACTCAGTTCCTTAGCCCTGGGAAGAACCACTCCACTCCAGGCCTCTGATTCCCCAGGGAAAGGAGCGAGGTGGGGGCGGAAATGGGGTCTGGTTCCCATTTCCAAGTGGTGGGGAGCACGTCCTGTGTGCAGAGCTCGAGCCAGCTCTGGGGGGCTGGTTTCCGGGCTGAAAACGCCAGCCTGGATCCTTGGATCTCTGAGTCCCGGTCTCTGGCAGGCCGTGTTTACCATCTTTGTCCCACACGGGTGGTTCTGTCGCTGGGGATGGCAGCACTCTCAGATGTGGCCACTTGTATGTCCTGAGTGTCCAGGCACCCGAGTCCTAAGCATCTGCGATTTGGACAGTTGAGAGTCTCATCCCTACATGCTGAGATGTCCTCCTTACCTCAGATTACAATGACAGCGCCCTGGTTTTTGAGCCCTCCCTGGGTCACACCTGCGCAGGTCAGGTTCTTCAGGATGCCCAGCCCCGTGCTTCTCTCAGGGACATTGCACTGACTGTCCCTCAGCTTTGAAGACTCTTCCCTAGGTATCAGCATAGCTTTCTCCCACATTTCAGGTGCCTGGTTATTATCATCTTGTTAGAGAAGCCTTCTTATCCACTGTGTTCCAAACAGCTCCTTCTGCTTTTCTTTTTCTCTTCCTTTGCTCTGCTCATTTTTCTCCCCACACTTACTCTGGTCCGAATTTATTTATTTATTTTCTTTCCCATAGAGTGTATACTCTACAATGCAGTGATTATGTCTGTTTTGTTCATAGCTGTAGTCCCCAGGGTCACAGCAGTGTCTGTCATATAGTATGTGGTCAGTAATTCTTGAAAGTATGAATGGAAACCTCTGGAGATCCCTAATTTGAACAGTGTTAAGATTAAGATTCCTGGGTATGAATTTCTAAGACTCTGAGCTGACAGCACAGATAGAATTCTTCAGGCAGAATGTTGTAAAGATCCTGCAATCCAAAAATTCTAAAATTCTGTAATTCGGAATCCTGCAGTATTCCAGGACTGGCACACTTCTGTGATCTGGACAGTCTAAAGTTCTAAGAGTCTTTGTTTCTTTCCTTCTCACAGAGGAAGCTCCATCTACCGCCTCTTCCACCCCCGATTCCACAGAAGGTAAGCAGAGGGGAGGATGCCAGGGTGGGACTTCCGAGGGCTTCATCTCCGAGGAGGTCAGGCTTCTGCTCCGAGAAGCTCATGGCTCTCCTTTGCTCACTGAAGGAGGCAACGACGACTCAGATTTTCGGGAGCTGCACACTGCCCGGGAGTTCTCAGAGGACGAGGAAGAGGAGACCACTTCGCAGGACTGGGGCACCCCCAGGGAGCTGACCTTCTCCTACATAGCCTTTGATGGTGTAGTGGGTTCTGGGGCCCGCAGGGATTCAGTGGCCCGCCGCCCCAGGCCCCAGGGCCGCTCGGTCTCCGAACCACGAGACCTGCCCCCACAACCTGGCCTGGGGGACAGCTTGGAGAGCATCCCCAGCCTGAGCCAATCCCCAGAGCCTGGACGCCCTGGCGACCCTGACACCGCCCCTCCATCCGAGCGTCCCCTGGATGATCTGAGGCTCCGCCTAGACCAGCTGGGCTGGCCTGCCCGAGGAGCAGGGTCTGGGGAGGACTCTGCCACCAGCAGCTCCACTCCGCTGGAAGATGAGGAGACAGATGGGTTGGAGGCAGAAGAGACTGGAACTGGAGGTGAGATGTCAGGTGCTGGGACTAAGCCCCAAATTGTGGGTGGTCCCTCCTCTGGGCACCTCTGGGAGAAGGCTCATGGGTTTGCTCTCTACCACAACAGAACTGGACCTACAGCCCCGACTTGCTCAGTCCTCGCAGCCTCAAGTCCTTACTCCCCGCCCCATTCCCGCCTCCGGCTCTGGGACTCCCCAGGCCTGGACCCTGTCCCCACCCAGATCCCAAGATCCAAACTCAGGGCCTGAAGACCCCACACTGGAAGAGGAGGAAGAGCCCTGTGGGCCCCTTGAGCTGGAGCCAAACACTGGACAGTGTCTCCGAAGCACGGACCAATCAGAATTCAGTCTGGAGCCACACCCTTTGGGTAAGCAGCACTCTGGCTGGTGCTTTCTTGAGCCAATCAGAAAGAGAGGATTGGGATTTAAAGGAACAGAGGACAGTGGAGGAGGAAGGAGAAAGTATAAACTCTGCCCTTTCAAAAATTTCCCGTTATCTGAGATTACCACTGGCTCTTTCTATACAGTTCCTGGCCCACTTGAGAAGTTAGCCTTCCTTTCAGCATTAAGATTGGCTGTTTGCTAAAAAACTAATTTTCTCTCGTTAGGAGTGCTCCCCCTACTTTCTGATAAGCCAATATCTGTAAAAATAAATATCTTTCTTGGACGTGGGTATGTGCCTTTTCCAACTCTACACATTCTTAAATAAATTCTCCTCATCCCTGACCACATCTATTGGCCATTTGTAAATAGACCCAGCCTTTCTTTAAAATATGCTCCACCTCCAGGACAGGCCACGGGTTGGTTTGGACAACACCGTTGCTGGCTGTTTACAAGGAGCTCCCGTTTGGGAATTGTCCCCACCTCTGCGGATGGTCATTGGCTGGGTACAAAGCAGCCCCGCCCCTCGACCCCCTCCCTCTTAGTCCCGCAGTGGGCGAAATCCCCAAGAAGTGGCGGTGTCCGAAGCCTCTCTCTCCAGCCAAGATGGGGAGTAAAGGTGGGCTTGTGGGGCGGTCTGGGGCAGGGGTTGGGGGACAGCAGGAAGGCGTCCAGATTCGCCTTTCTTTCCCTCCAATCCGGGGCATGTTTCCTACTGGTTCTGGATTCCCCGAGGCCGCAGGCTGGGACTAGGGGGCTGAGGGAGGGGTCCAAAGAGGTTGTGAGGAGAGTGTGGGGTCCCCTCTTCACCAAGCCAGGGCTTTGGGGCCCAGGAGCACGGAGACCCCCTCCCCCAGCCTCCGGCCCAGAAGGCACTGTCACTCAGGGCCTGGACGGGCCAGCACAGCTGCGGACGAGCCCCCTTCCCCCCAGCGGGCCTAAACTTAGCCCAGCCCCTCCCCCACGCGCTGGCCTCAGCCTGGGGCGCCTGCCCGGGAGGGAGGGCCCTGCGTCTGGGTGGAGGGGGCTGCCCCTCATAGAGGAAAATGGGGCAATGAGTATGGAAGAGGGAGAAGCCTATCGGATTGGTCAGTCTGACTGGAGGCTGAGGAGAAGGGAGACACTGAAGGATACTGAGCTCCAAGTAGGGCTCCAAGGGCAGTGGGTCCTGGAGACGGTGGAAATTTAGATGGCTGAAAGGAAACATTGAATTGGCGAGGTGATTGCTCAGGGCTCATGCTGGGAGCCGAGTTTAGGGTCAGAAATTTGAGTTAGGGCTTAAAAAGGAGATGGTGTTCTTAATACATTTAAGACTTAGAAAACCCACGTATTGGTAAGGATGTCAAGGTGTTCCCACTCTGCAGTGTCGGGCTGGAAGAAATGAAACAGAGCACAACATCCATTGCTGGGAAGGATGTTAGAAAATGATCATTCTTAGGAGGCCAGGGATTTAGCTCAGTGGTCCCACCACCACCTGCCTCACAAGCTAGAGGCCCCAAGTTTGAGTCCCCATACCAAAAAAAAATAAAAATAAAAATCATTCTTATGTAGTTCATGGAAATAAAAATTGTTAGTCTTAGCCTGGCATGGTGGTGCATACCTGTAATCCCAGCACTGGGGAGGATGAGACAGGAGGGTCACCAGGAGTTAAGGCCATGGTGGGCTACATAGTGAGTTCAAGGCCAGTCTGAACTACATAGCAAGACCCTGCCTCAAAAAACCAAAACAAGAGCTGGGGATTTAGCACAGTGGCACCACACCTGCCTCACAAGCACAAAGCCCTGAGTTCGATCCCCAGTACCAAAATCATAAAACAAAGAATTGTTAGTCTTGTTAATAATCAATCTGAAAAAAACAATCTAACAAAATATATATATATATATTTGGTTAAAAAATACACAACCAGCCACCAGCAATTTCCCCCTTGGGATTCTGTCTCAGAAATAGAAGCTCCAGGAGATATGGATATCTGTGTAATGATGTTGCTTGCGACGATGTTTGAGGGAAGGGGGTAGGAAACAAAGTGAATTATCTAGGATTAGGGCCAAGTTTTATTACAATGAATGATGGCATAGCCACAGTATGAGATAACATGTCTCTCTTTTTATTTCTCCCTTCCTTCCTTTTTTTGTTTTGTTTTGTAGACAGGGTCTCACTATATAACCCAGGTCAGTCCTCCTGCATGGTAGGATTACAGGCTAGGTGGACACCCAGACCAGCTTCCTGTAGCTCTTAAAAACAATGAATCAAGAAGCTGGATGTAGCGATTCATGCCTGTAACTGCAGCCACCTGGAGGCCAGACAGGGAGGCTTTGCAAGAACCCTTGAAAACAATTTTTTTAATTAAAATTAAAGGACCTGAGTTGGATCCCTGGTACCAAAATAAATAAATAAATAAACAAACAAATAAATAAAATTATAATTAAAAGGGCTAAGGGTATGATTCAGTGGCAGAGCATTTGAGTTCAATCCCCAGTACCACAAAGAAAAACAAAATAGATTACAAACTATTTAGGGGTGGGGAGTTAGCTGAGTTGGTAGAGCGTTTGCCCAGCATGCAGAAGGCCCTGGGTTCCATCTCCAGTACCACAAAAATGAACGAAACTCCCAGTTGACTAGGAGGAAATTCTAGGAGGAAAAGTGCAATGAGATAGACGTGATACAGAAACGTATATATTTTTTTCCAATTTTCATTAAATAAGGGGCATGAGTATGCATTTGTGTATCCACAAGTGATAGGGAGCAGAGTAAGGTTAAGGGAATTTACCAAGTGGTTAACTTGGGTTCTCCGGGAAGAGAAACAGGATGCTGAAAATGTGGAATTTGGCTCAGGGCTCAGAGCACTGCCTTGTTAAGTCTGGGCCCGCTGTGGGATGGGAAATGGGGGTCTGGAGGTCAGCCGGGCCAGGTCCCAGCCCCAGCCCCAGCCCGATGCCTGCCCCTGTCCCCAGTGGCGGACCTGCTGTACTGGAAGGACACCAGGACATCGGGAGTGGTCTTCACAGGCCTCATGGTCTCCCTCCTCTGCCTCCTGCACTTCAGCATCGTGTCCGTGGTGGCACATGTGGCTCTGCTGCTGCTCTGTGGCACCATCTCTCTCAGGGTCTACTGCAAAGTGCTGCAGGCTGTGCACCGGGGGGATGGAGCCAACCCCTTCCAGTAAGAACCCGGACCCTAAGCCCTGTCACACCCCAGCGCCGACCAACACCCTCACCGCGACCTCAAACTAGCAGCTGATTCTCACCCTGGCCCTGACCCACCCTCATCTTTTTGCCTTCTAATCTTCTATTCTGACCCTGATTGTAAACCAGGTTCTGAACCCCTGGCACCCAGCCCTAAACTCTGATCCTGACCTCAATCCCTTAATCCCTGACCTCTTCTGCTGACCCTGGCCTTGACCCCAACCCTCTACGTGTGATTTGATTTGTCCCTTCAACCCTAACTTTGCTGTTCTTCCCAATCTTATTTATTTGCCCTTGTTTCATCCACTTCCTCCCAGCCTGGGCCCCATGCACCCACCGAAGCATCCCCACTTCTTTGTCCCCATCAGGGCCTACCTTGATGTGGACCTGACCTTGACTCGGGAGCAGACAGAACATTTGTCGCAGCAGATCGCCTCTCACGTGGTATCCACGGCCACACAGCTGCGGCATTTCTTCCTGGTAGAAGACCTTGTGGATTCCCTTAAGGTGACCGGAAGTACCCCATCCTGGGTTCCCAGTGGTTACTTCTATGCCCCTGGGTGGGAGGGCCATGGCTGGGTAAGTTCACAGCCCTTGGGCCTGGCTGACCATGACCCTCGCCCCCAGCTGGCCCTCCTCTTCTACATCTTGACCTTTGTGGGTGCCGTCTTCAATGGCCTGACTCTTCTCATTCTGGGTGAGCTGGAAAATCTGCCAGGGGTTGGGGGCAGAGTCAGAAGGTGGCTTTGGTGGGAGACAGGGCTCCAGGTGGAGCTGTTCGGCTCCTGGGAAAACTCTGACCTCATCTCTGTACCCACAGGAGTGATCGCTTTATTCACCATCCCCTTGCTCTACCGGCAGCACCAGGTGGGTGTGGCATGACCACTGTTACCAAATATGGGTGGTCTGACTGCCTCCGTCCAGACCCAGGGCCCCACAGACAGATAGCCCAGCCAGTCCCAAGGTGTTCTGACTGCTGCCCCTCCTTAGGAGAACTACAGTCTAACCAATATGTCTCAATAGCAGAGGCTGACTCTCCCCCGAGTTCTGTTACTGGAGATTGAACCTCCTTTTATTTTTTTATTTTGAGACAGGGTGTTGCTTAGTTGCCCCGGCTGGGCTGGAACTTGTGATCCTCCTGCCTCACCCTTGCAGATTGCTCTGGGGTTACAAGCATGGGCCAGCACACTGGGCTAGATAGGCATTTTGATCGGCGTCTTCAGAAAGAGTGAGGCTCCAACAGACATGGCCCTACCTATGGCAGGTGACCAACTAACACTCCTGTCTGGTGGCGCACCCAAGGTCTCAGTTATTTACATGTCCTCACCACGGAGCAAGAGCCTGCCTTTTTTTTTTTGCTCTTTGACACAACCAGGCTAGACAACACTCACAGGCAGATACCGTAGGGCCTTCTTCCTGGGTACCGCCAAAGACTAACAGACACACATTCCACTTGGAGAAAGACAGATCAACCCACCCACACACACAGTGATCTGACTGTCACCCAGCTCAGCCCAAGACAGACAGACTGCTGGATGTCATCACACCCCGAAGCAGTCAGGATCCACTCCCATGCCTCTCAGAGTTGGATGGGATGGCACACTGGCATAACTAGGACCGAGTGACAGGCAGGCGATCAGGGACAGGCAGATGAACAGACACTCCCTTCTCAGCCCAGCTGAGAGCCAGACCATAACACACCCTGCTAGACACATAGACCTGGTTAACTCCCCACAGACATGAATCCCTGAGACTCCAAATTCAACTCAACTGTAAATTAGACTCGTGTTCAAATCAGCCCATCAGCAACTCACTACCCTACCCCCTCACACACACACACAACACATGGACTCACTGGTGCTCTGGAGCAGGCTCACTGACAGATACGTGGGGTCCACCTGAGGCCACTCCCTACACAGAGGAGGGCCCAAGTGACTGACCGACCTTCACCTTGAGCTGCAGACTCCCGAGGGCATCTTTTTCGGTTCAGGGTTGAAGGCAGAGCAGTGGGCTACACTCCTAGCCCCTGATTTGGAGGGAGAGGAGGAAGCAGTCTCCTCCGTGAATTGAGGAGAACCCTTTCTAGTTCCTTCTCTCACTCCTGCTTGGTCTCCCCAGGCCCAGATTGACCAGTATGTGGGGTTGGTGAACAATCAATTGAGCCACATCAAAGCTAAGTAAGCATGAGGTTGTGAACAGGGATGGGAGGTGGGTGGAAACTTTTTCTGTCATCGCCCCCTGCCCCAAATCTCCTGGCTCTGAGTGCCACTTTCTTGGAACCGGTGAAAGACGATTCCAGGCCATTAGGTGGAGGGTTGGGGCTGGCTTTGGGCACTCAGCTGTGCCCCACCTAGCTCTTCCATAGTCTCTCATGCCTCCACCATCTTTTGCCACACCTCGTGACTCTAAGCGTTTCTCCCTCAGGATCCGAGCTAAGATCCCTGGGACTGGAGTTCTCGCCTCAGCAGCAGCCACAGTCTCGGGATCCAAAGCCAAAGCCGAATGAGAGGGATGTCTGCCCGCGGGACTCCGCCCCCTCCCCAGCAGCCCTCTGCCTCCCTCCTGTTCATCTCCTGTTCATCCCCCGTCCACTCCCCATCTCTGTCACTTGAGCCGTTTCTCGGTGGGTGTCAGAATCATGCCCATTAGGGAAACCGCTAATTTGCCCTAGCGGTCAGGACTACAATTCCCAAGAGGCTCTGCTCTAAGAGTCCCGGAAAGGCTAGGCCCCTTGGCTGCGGGACCTGCTGGGACTTGTAGTTAACTAGACAGGGCGCCGCCCTGCACTTCCACAACTCCACCGCTGGAGGCGCCGTGAGGGGTTGGGGTCGAGTCCGCCACTAGGCCCAATGCAGGGGCTTTGCATGGGGCCCAAAGGAGGCCTGAGCTTGGATTTATACTGTAATAAAAACTCCTGTGGAAAACAAGGCCTCTTGTGCTTCCAGCCCTCTTCAGCTGTCACCTTCCTGCACGGAAAAGCATTTAAGGGACACACCAGGACAACCTTCCCTGTTTCTGTGGAAGAAGCCACCTCTCCGGTCTGTTTAGATTATGAATGTTTAAGGGGAAGATCCTAAGACATCACTCGCAGCAGGGCAGCCATGTTCCTCGCCAGTGCTGCCAGCAGACACCACTCATGGATCCCACACTGCCTACTGCAAGCCAGCTTCTCCAAGGTTCAGACCCATGTTTCCTCCAAACATATCCAAACTCTTTCTCATGCTACAAATTTCAAACTCAGGGACAGCCCCATTGCCCATGTCACCAGGCCACATGCCTACATGTGACCCTAGTCTTCTGCACCCAGTTGGGAAGCTGTGTCTAGTCTGCCACTCCAGTGTCTCTCATCACTCACTGCTCTCTGTCCTAATTGCCCGATGGTCAAGCACAGGGCCTCATGGACTCACTGGGCCTCAAATTCCAAAACAAAACAGGGAAAGGAGGAAATAGGGGAAGACCAGAGTCCAAAGATCCATGCGCCTTTGTTTGAATCCTGGTTCTACTACCCCTATCTATGTGATCTTAAGTGGGTAACTTCACATCTCAAAGCCTCAGTTTCCTCGAATAAGAAGCTGTCACCTTGCAGAGTCCTTGGAACCAAGCCTGACATGAAGTGCAATAATAAAATACAGTGAGGGCCTGGGATTTAGCTCAGTGGTTCAGTGGCCTGCCTTGCAAGCATAAGGACATGAGTTCAGTTCCAGGTACCGGAAAATAAAAAATAAAATACAGCAAATGCTTAAGTTTAAATTTTTTGTTACAAGACACATTACCATTATTTCTCTCAAATCCTCTCTTTCACTTTGAACACACATCCCACTGCTCTTGCCACTTTCTGAAGCAGTACTGGAAATCCTCTTTTATGTCTAGTGACACTATTCTGGCTGCCTTGGTGTTCTGAATTGATTTAAAATATTTACCTATCGTGGTCATTTTGACTTTGGGGAAGAGCCAGAAGTTGTGAGGTGCCAGATCCGGTGAATAAGGTGAATGGAGCCATACAGTAATGTTTTTAGCTGACAGAAAATGCCCTACACATAAACTGTAAACTTGAGAAAGTGGCAAGAACAGTTGCATAAGTGTGTTTAAAGCAAGAGGGGGTGTTTTAATGGGGACTAATGGCAACATAATATTTTTTTATTTTTTGAGACAAGGTCTCACTATGTAGTTCAGGCTGGCCTCATACTCTCCGTGATCCTCCTGCCTCAGTTTCCTGAGTGCTGGAAGTTTGTTATGCACCACCATGCCTGGCTAGAGTAAAAATACATTTTAAATGTACGCATTGCTCATAGTTTTTGTTCATACCTTGTACAATAAATGTTCATTAAACAGAAGCTGCTGTTGATAGTTATGATGTTATTTCCCAAATGTCAGTCAGTGCATTGTGTCTTACATGACTCTTAAACCAACAGTTCTGCAATTAACTTAATCATTTTCTTTAAACTGGCTAATATAGAATTAAACTTGGGGCTGGCTGGGTGTAGTGGTGCATGCCTGCAATCTCAGCATTTGGGAGGCTGAGACAGGAGGATCACCACGAATGTGAGGCAGCCTGGACTACATAACAAGAACTTGTCTCAAAAGGGCGGGGCTAGTGATACTGCTTAGTGGTAGAGCACTTGCCTACATTATGAGGTTCTAGGTTTCATCCCCAGTGGTCCAAAAATAAGTAAATAAACAAATAAAATAAAATAGAGCAAATATATTTTGTAAAAGAAATGTTAAGGGCCAGAGATTTGGCTCAGTGGTGCCGCTGCCTGCCTGGCAAGTTCAAGGTCTCAAGTTCAAGACCACAAAGAAAAAGAAAAACAAAAAAGAAATGTTAAGTTGAATGTGGTGGCACACACCTGTAATTCCAGTGCTCAAAGCAGGAGGATTATTGAGTTGAGGCCAGCCGAAAAACAAAAAAGAAATGTTAAGTTGAATGTGGTGGCACACACCTGTAATTCCAGTGCTCAAAGCAGGAGGATTATTGAGTTGAGGCCAGCCTGGGCTACATGGTGAGGCCAGTCCAAACTACACAGTAAGACCCTGTCTCAAAAAACAAAGCAATCAGACATGGGGCATGCACCTGTCATCCTAGCACTTGGGAGGCTGAGGCAGGAAGATGAGTGCAAGGCCATCCTGAGCTGCCTAGCAAGACTCTGTCCCTCAAAACCAAAACCAAATGAAAACAAAAACAAAACAAAAAACAAGGACTGTTACTTTCTCACCTTGAAAGGAAGCCATTCTTGCTTGCCATAACAGAAGGTAACAGTAAAGACAAGCACAAAAATATTAGCATTCAAAATTTGGGCATCATCTAAAATCATCTCATGTCGCTGGTGACATGTGTCTTTTTAGCTATATCGTGATATTCCGAGCAGTAGGCACACCCACAGAATTTGTATATAGGGTTGCCAGCAGCAGCGAGTGGACTAAAATAAATAAATAAAAAGGGTTCAGGGAACTTATCTCAAATCTGGATTTGGCAAGCAGCGACAATATTTTAAATTTCCACACTAAAAATGATAGCAACATTTTCTAAAGATGGTTTGAGTCACACCTTTCATCAGACAAAACATTAATCAAAGAATGGAGAAAGAGAGACTGGCAGAATTATGGTTCCAGGCAGGGCCAAAGCCTCGGCTCCATCCTTAGCAACCGCTTCTACTAGTCAAAAACAAGTTGGAGGTTGAAAAGAAACTCTTATTGAGCACACACTTGCTCATTATGTTTCCTCCAGGGAAATCACTTGTACTGTCCAATGCACCGAGAGAAAAACTGAGTCTCAGAGGAGAAGAGTGATGACATTCTTTCATTCATCCTACAAATCTGTACGGGAAGCTGGGTATGGTGATGTAATCCCAGCACTCAGAGAGGCTGAGGCAGGAGGATCACAAGTTCAAGTCCAGCCTGGAGGCGGAAAGCCATGGGAACACGCAGAAGAGGGGAGGCCCAGGCTGGGCATATGTGAAAGCCCTGGACAGGGACCTGGCCTGGTGTGTGCAGGATCGCCTGTGTGCCAAGCCAGGTAGGTAAAATGAAACGGGGAGAGGATGGAGTGAAAGGGGCAAAACTATAGGGATTTGTAAACCAGAGAGAATTTTAACTTTTACTGTGAGATGCCAATCATAACAGGGTTTCATTAGGGAGAATGATATCTGTGTCAAGAAATCTTTTGAGTTTGGTTCCAAAAGAAGCAGCATTTTTGTGATCTTAACATCTGGATGGGCTGCGTGAACTGGACGATGGTATTTTCTGTTTCTCAGCCTCAGTTGCCCTAGCCATAACACGGAGGTGTAAAACTGTTCTGCTCGCTGGTATTTAAAGTCAGTGGGGACCGGATGTATGTCATCTCCAGCACAGAGGAGAGTGCCTGGGACTCAGTGGATTCTTAAATCCTTGAGTGGATTTTGGGCTCCATAAAGTCTCGCAGTTCCAAAAAAGGGCAGCAGGTGGCACAACGGCCCCGAAGCCTCAGCCCAAAGGCTCCGGATCTCGGCCCAAGCCCTATGGTGAATTTACTCTTCCGCCCCAGAATGCAGAATCTTCCGTGAAGGGGTTTCTGAGTACCGATTTATGAGTTTCTTCTCTTAAACTGAGTTTTCGCTTAAAAAAAAAAAAAAGGAATTCCTGCCTCTTTAACACCTGACAAGGTCCCCGAGCGCTGCTTCCCAGAATGCATGGAGCTATGTAAATAAGGCAATTTCCAGGAGGATGATTCATGCCATACGACACAGAAAAAACTTTGAAACCCATTTTTTTATGATGACTACATAAAAAAATTTATAGGCGGTAATATTAACTATCTACCATCATCACAATATACATGACCATAATCAAAAAATGAATAAATTGCACAGCTTTATATAGCCACCTGAATACACACATTTCCGCCCGGATGATCCTCAGTGGTCTGGGGTGCAGGCTTCAAACCTGTAGCTGTTTAGCGACAGAGTGGTTCAATTCCACCTTCCGGGCGAGGTTCCTATCACACACCTCATCGTCTTTCTTTTCCGCCCCCCGCACCTGCAAACCACACTTATGGAGCCAGGTCTTCAAGAAAGCTCCCACGTGGGCACCTGGAGAGGTCGCTGCAGTCTTCTAGCTCGCCATTGGCGGTCTTGCCATGTGGTCTCTGCCCACGGTCCCTTTTCCGCGGGAATATCAAAGATGACTGGAAAAGATGAAGAACACTTCTGCTACACAGCTCAAGGATATTCTTGTGGGTTTCGCCCCTTCACCGGCTTGTTCAGTCCATCGTTAACGTACTCGTGTATTCCATCACACATGTGCTTTTTCCTCAATTATTTGCTCATTTTCTTTCCCCCGTTCGACAAGTATTTGTGGAGTGGCTGCTGGGGACCAGCCCTGGCCCGGGCTCTGCTAGGAACACAGCGGTTGATGGCAGCCCCAGCCCTGGCCTCAGGGCAGAAGCGGTCCGGAGGGAACCAGAGACCAAGGGCCCCTCCCACTGTACCCTGAATTACCAAGCACAGAGGTGGTGACTGCAGGAAGGAAAAGTGCAGAGCATAGGAGGTCATCAGACAAGGAAACCTGTCCTGATGTCAGGGTGACTGACCCTGGGGCAGACGCTGGAAGGATGAGAGGGGTCAGAGAACCAAAGGGCGAGGCTTTCCCTGGCCAGATGGGGCAGCTCCAGTAATAGCTGTGGTCATGGCAGAGACGGCTCACTGTGCACTGGGCGCTGGTACTCAGGAGCCCCCTTTCCCCAACCGGCAAACTGAGGCTGGGGCAGAGGCAATCTCTCCTCCGGGGCCGCAGGTTGGGTGAGGCTGCAGCCCCAGAGCACTGACAACACCAGCCCCTGCTCTGTACTGCAATCCAGAATTGTCCCTCCCAAGCCAGTGACTCATCATACATTCAGTCTCCTAAATTGTTGGGGGCGGGTGGAGATGGAATCCAAGACCCCGACACTTAGCTACATCCAGGCCTTTTAAAATTTGCTTACAGGGTTTTATTATGTAGCACAATTACCCACCCTGGACTGGAACTTAAGATCCTCTTGTCTCAGCCTCTCAGAGCTCTGGGCTCACAAGAACTCAATGCCATGCTCTGCTCCAAAGGTCTCTTTAATCCTTCCTCTCCTCCCTGTCCTGTGGCCCTGGCCCTACTGCAGGCCTTCTCTCTAGTCTTGCTCTCCTCCCTTCCAGACACCCTCAGTTTGACAGCTAGAGGTCTCACCCTAAATTAGAATCCTGCCGCTGCCCCTCCTGTGCTCAGAACCTGCCATGGCTCTCCAGCACCCTCAAGAAAAGTCTAAACTATTTCACCTGGGCAATTAATGGCCTGAAGAAACTGGTCCCTGCTCACCTCTCTCCCCACACCTTTGCTCCATGACCGTGATCCTTGACCTCCCGGTCATCAAGCACAACTCCCCCACCAGGTCTTTGAGCTTGCAAGGTTCTGGCCCCAGCCTTCTAGTGTGGTCTATACTTGGCATGTGTCACTAGGACACAGCACAACTGTCCCCTCCTCCAGGAAGACCTTCTTGACACTCAGTCAAGGTTAGACTCACCTGTTGGGCTCCCTCAGTCCCACGGGGCCCTCAGCCCTGTTTGCGTCGTGTCTGACTGAGAACAGATCTGTATCCACCACTTGCCTATGAGCTCTAGGAGAGCAGGCCAGGCCTAGGAGCTGAGTCCCTGCCCTTTCTCCTGTCATAGAATGTGCTTGGCAAAAACATGTTTTTTGAGACAGGGTCTCACTAGTAGCCCAGTCTGGGCTGAAACTCCGGATCCTCCTGTCTCAGCCTCCCAAGTGCAGGGATGACAGGTGTGTGTCACCACACTTAACAACTCTCCGGCTCATTCATTTGCTAAAATGTTCAAAGTATCTCAGGACACCACCTCCCTCCTCAGAGTGCTCCCATGAAAATAAGTAGGTTGGATTTTGCAATGGGGATGGCTGTACTGCATCTCTCATCCCTCCCTCCCTCTCTCTCTGGTCCTTCTAGCATCTAACCTTACTCTCTCTTGCTGAAAGGATGCCAACTAATGAATGTCAAGAGAAAAATAGACTCTGAGGCATGGTGGATGCATTTTTCTGAGCTTTTTATTGGCGACAGTGCAGAACCAAGGGGTGAGGGGAGCAGCCCAGTTCCGGCCACCCGGCCCCCAGCCCCAGGGTCAGGTGCAAAATACAAAAAAAAAAAAAAAAAAAAAAAAA